AGAGAGAGAGAGAGAAAGAAAGAAAGAGAGAGAGAGAGAGAAAGGGAGAAGCCGGCCTACCTCCTCCCTTGCTGACCAAATTCGCTCCTTCCACAACATTTCTTCCTACCCGATCAGAAGCTACGACATTTTGATTAAAAGCAACAGTGGGAGCTTGTTGTGTGTGAAGGTAACTTTCTCCCCCCCTTCACGCACCTCTTCGGCCAAATCCCGCAAAGCTGTCGAACTAAGGGGTTAAACCCTTGATTTATGGAAAATAAAAGGAAACAGAGGATTTAGCTTTCTGTGAGATTCAATCATCTCTATATCATGTGTAAATCATCCTTAAATCCTGCTCAAAATCAACATAAATCCTGTTCTAATCATGCTTCTTTTTATTATTATTAAAATTATTTTTTTATTATAATTAATTATTGTTAATAGTAATTAATTATATTTAATTATTATTATATTAATTAGTTTTCAATTAAAATCAATTATTGATTAATTTGTTATAATATGATATATATCATTAATAATTACTTAATTTTTAAATTAATTATTTTAATTTAAATATGTTATCAATTATAATTAATTATATAATTATTAATTAATTATTTTTATATTTAAATATTATTATTGAGTATTTATTAATTATATTAATTAGTTAATAATAATAATATAATGAATAATAATTAGAAAGATGTTTTGCCCTCCTTCCACAAGCAAACACCACCGACGACCTTTGATAAAATATAAGTTTTGAACTTCAGAAAACTTGCCCTCAACAGGTTGAGAATAATTCACTCATATCGCGCACTCTTTTCTTGGAGCACGAGGGAGGAAGTATCGCTCTGATGCGTGTGGCGAGGCAGGGTATTCCCCTAAAGTCCTTTTTCGTGTTCGCGACGCGCCAAGGGATCACCCATTGCTCAAGCTATTTCTTAGTGTGGTGTTGGAGGGAACCTTGGATGCGGAGCCTTACAACGAGAAGGCTGTGCGCGCTTTTCTTAGCACGGCGGGGCAATAAAGAACAACTTTTTCAAAAAAAAAAGCTTTAAAAATCCATGCACGCCTTTCTTGGCGTGGTGGATGACAAAAAAACTACGGCCGCAGTGTCTCACAACACCAACCGTGCATGTCTTTCTTGACGTGGCGGGTAGGCTGCCTTTTGGTTTTTCCCCTAAATGGGGGAGATGCCGGGAGGCTACCGAAATTTTGTCTAAAAAAGACAATGACTTGTACTTGAATAAAAAAGGCTTGAACTTAAATAAATGAAATTGAATGAACCAAGCCTGAACCATATGCAGAAGAACTTAAATCAATTGACAAATGGGAGTCATAAATCCAAATGAACTTGAGATTATAGTTTGGGATAACTACAATGAACTTGAACTTGAACTGAACAAGAACTCGAGCTCAAGGAAACTAAGTGCAAAGAACTTAATCATTTGAACTTGAAGATAAAGATTTGGACCGCAGCGGACTTGACATTGAACACTTGAACTCAAAGGACAACAGGGGGCTTCTAGACTTGGACTGAATTCAGATAATTTGAACATGAACAAAATGCATAAAGAACTAAGCTCAAACAAATTATAATAAGCCTAAATTTGAATTCAAAAGAATAATGACAAGGAATCTAAGTGCATTGCAAAAGACCTTGAACTTCTACTCAAACTCAATCTAGAACTTAGACCCATATCAACGAATAAATAAGGGTCCAAATTTTGAACTAAGTGGGACTCAAGTTTGAACAACAAGAAGAAAGACCTGAATCACATGAGCTTAATCCAAGCATGAAATGAGCATAGACTTGTGAATTTGAACATAACTTGTATCAACATATTTTCAAGCAAGGGTCAAATGGAGAAATACAATAGTATGCTCATGCTTAACAATACAAAGTCTTCAATGAGCATTAAAGTACTCTCATTCCAGTTGAGAAGCTAACTCATCATGCGTGGTTCGAGTCATCTTCATATGACACCAAGGGATTTGTCACATTCAAATTGGACAATCTACGAACAATAATATAAAGATCTTTAAATGAAGATCATCAGACTGGTCAGAGCACAATCATCAATGAACTGAATTATTATGAAAATCATGAGTTACTTTGACTAGTGCAAGTAATAATGTGCTTAAAAGTGATTACAAGGAGATTGTAAACTACAATAGTTCACTAGCCAACATGCATGAAATGGTCAGTGATGAATGTAGCCATGCCTCTACAATCGACAGTAACAGAGATACTACAAAGATGGCCTATCCTCCATGAATACAGAGCAGCAAACACAGCATCTTGTAACCAATACAAACAGAAATGGTAAATCGCTTGCAGGCAACATTGGCATCAGGCAAATGTATTAATCCCCTGTGAATGACAACATTCCTTACAAATACCAACAATCAGCAATGATAGAGGTGTTATAAGCTTGATATAGTCCCGATAAATATTACGGATCTTCTCCAGTCAATGAAAACTGATTCGTCAATAAATAATGTGATTGCCTACGAGTGTTGAAGGTCAGCACACAATGAACATGATAGAGGGCTTGATATACCTTCGACTATCATAGTTGTTGGTTTGAGACAGCGGCCACTAGCTATGAAGTATAAGACATTAATAAAGACACAGTCATTTAAGGTTGAAAAGATTGATCCTTTATTTAAACCAACAACAGAAAATGATGATTACGGCATAACCAGGAAGTCGCTTATTGATTCCTATAGCTCCAGAATGAGAAAGCCGGATCAAATCAATAGGGAGTATAGGCCTCAGTTCAACTAGGTTCTGAATATTGAATTGGATAAGATTATTGAGGCTTACAAGTTTCTTGATAAACAGGGATCGTGCATCCAACATACCTTCTACGTACAAAAACTAAAGTATTATGACAAATACAAACTTCTACGAGTTATTGTAGAAGACCAGTCGAATGTCCAAAATACCCCCGCACATGCACCGTAATTTGTATACACATAGGTACACTAAAAAACAGGACAAGCACAATCAAAAACTCGCATGGGCCCCAGCGAGCATGTTGTAGGACACACGTGACGTCTAAGGATGCTGCGCGGGTCAATAAATTCAAACCCAATCCTTTTAAGAAGCTAAATAAGAGTCGGCAAGGTTCAGTAAATAATTATAAAATGCCCTCAAATACTCGCGACGTCTAGGGATGTTGCGCGGGTCAACAAATGAATGTAGTTCGAGCCTGATCCTTCTATGCGAGTAGATAGGAGTTGACACGGCTCGAATTATCAAACAGATATAGGATCAAGATGTCAACCGGGATATCTGTTTTATACGTTCATATAAGGCCTTCAAGGCCTCCAATAAAGAAATTTCATTAACAAAGCCATAAAGCTAACGACGAACCCGATCCTCTATCGACAAGATGACAGAGTTGACAAGGTTCAGTCAATAAAACAAGAATAATCCCCTCACCCCGATGATGGCCGTGTTGAATGCAAATTCAAACTAGAGGAGTTCATTTCAAATATCTTCAAAATGTCACCCAAACACAAAAAAAAAATCCAAAACTTCAAAAAGAATATCAAATTCAAATATTTAAAACTGAAATCAAACCATCAAACATTTAAGGCACAAAATCCATCCACCCTCCGCAACAGCTTGCTGGGGTGGACAAGTTAAAATGTACTCTGGCTCACAAAGAGCTAATGCCTAGTCGAAAACATCACTAGGATCTATTCTCAAATAATCTCCTGCCAATAAGGACGTGGTATGTGCCCTCTGAACTGAGTGATTTTGCCGCCAAATGGCACCTCGAAATACTGGTTATGGCCAGAGCCAATATGTTCCTTAGTGACATCAAATCCTTAAGATATGAATCAATAGGATATGATTGATAGAGCACAAAGCCCTCTGTTAACTAAGGTGGATTCAAATTTATCCCCTTAGGCAAATATTCACCCCAGGTCTATAAGGTCCCCTTGGACGAAGAAATCCATGGCTGCCAACAAGGATCCTTCTGTCAGGTTGGGTCGACTACCTCCTCTGACTAAGTAGACCAGGGACCACGATGGCCTAATGGTCAAATCTACTTTCAACCAAAAAGAAGAAATCTACTAGCAAAGGCCAACAACTTGGTTTTCTACACCATCATATTCTATAACCATCCAACTCAGGATTAAACTTAATGCCTCATGCACCTAAACAAGAGGAATTGCAGAATTGTTAATCAAGAAAAACTTCTCCACTAGAAACAAATGAATATTCATCATAAATGTGCCAAATAAAAAATCCAACTTTCTAGCAAAGCAAATCATTATAGTTGTACATTGCAAGTCATCATTGCACTTTTTCAACATTATTTAATATGACATGTTAACTAGTAGTGGTTAAAGCATCATTTGTCATATAGAACTATTTTGGTGTTTTTTTTGCTTGTTCAAGGGTACTTTAGTGATTTTGAATGACTATTATTACAAAGTTGTTTAGTATAATGTCATTCATATGGTTGACAATGAAATAAAGAAAGTGCTTTCTTCTAGTATTCTTTTGGGGGATTGGTTCCTCCCTCTTGCGCCCATTTTTTGTTTCTTTCTATTTCTAGCCTCCCGCCTCTCTAGGCATCATCATCCTTTTTTCAAAATTGTTTCTTCTCTTTATCACTTCAATTTTTTTCATATATCAAATCATTCTCTTCTCAACAATCAAAATATCCAAGTCCACAAAAATCCCCCCTTCCATTGCCAACACTTTTCATCGTAGCCATCACCATTCTAAGATTTATAGCTACAATAGCTAAGCACATCAACATAATTGAGAAGATTCGACAACATCATGATTAAAATGCTTTCAATGCAAAAAATATCATTGATTACCCACATATTGCAGGATCCCAAATTATATATTTTTTAATTTTCTTAGCTAAGCCTATATTGGATATGTCCAGCAGAGTATTCCTTTGAGGCTTGAGTTTGTCTGAGATAGGAATGCATCTAATGTTCCATGGATTTTGTTAAGCTAATAGAGAAGCACTTTAGCACACCTGATATATCCACGAATTAAATTGTTGATGGACTTCATCAACTAAGGGTCCCCTCAAAACTTCCAGAGCTACCTACATTCAAGAAATACCAAACATAAATAGATTATTAAGCATGTAAGAGAGCCATTTTGTTAAAGTGTTTCACCAAGAAAAAGAAAGTATTTTGCATAAGAAATGAAAGGAAACCATAAATCATTACCGATCTTGAAGCAGCTGAAGGAGGAGCGCCATTAGGCCGGAAAATGTAAGCGCCCGAGGCCTAATGGAAACAGTACTCATTTCAACAATTTAACAAAATTTTGCACATCAAATATGCCGATAAAATTTAAGTGTTCACCTGTTTGTCTTCATTATCACCCTCACTAGAACCATACCAAAGATAACTTTGTTGCACGGGTAAGTCAACCTAATTAATCAAAAAAGTCGCTTTAAAAGTTCTGCATTAATATAGAATGCATAAATCTATTATTAAACTGTTTTCAAAATTATTTCAGAGTATGAAAACCTAAAGTTGGTCAGCCAATTTTTCCATGGATTAAGGATTTATATGAAAGATATAAATTCCAATAGAACAGAAGGAAAATACCATAAAGACATCAGTACAGAATACCAATAAACTTGACTTGTAATGCAAAAAAGAAATAGTTTTTATTTCATGCCCTAAACAGTAAAATGGCATAGAAAAAAGGGATAGAGTTTAAAAAAAAAGGGATAGTGCATAATGTAATCATGCATGCAAATGGCCAAGTTCATGGCATTTTACAAGCTTTATCTATTCTCAGAAAACTTCCCTTCCACTGAGAATCCACCAGATCATTAAATAGTTAATCCCCAAATGCATTCCATTCCCAAAGCAAAACTTAGATATTTCAAGCAAGGAAGAGTTAACATGATGTTGATCAAATCCAACTTCAATAAGATCAAATGCTTGATATCACAAGTAAAAACAGAGTAAGTGGCACATGAATATATATATAGAACAATATCTTTTTTACTTAATGTTAAAATAAATATATGTTACTAATTGGTGAAAGATGTTTGACAAGCTCAGGAATGGTTCCATTTGAACAAAAAAATAGCAAGCATCACAAACAAAATATGAATTGATTAAATGTGAAGCACGTAATGTAAGAATTTAAGGAGAATTAAATGGTAGCCACATCAGCCAAAAAAATTCTAAGAGAAAGAACAAGAGAGAATGAATCACCATTGAAAATCCCATTGCCCAAGCTTGTTTCTTAATCACCCAAATTAGCATAGGCTCGTAATTACATGGAAAATTAGTTGCTTGTAGTCAATTATCAAATTAGCATAACCCAAGGTAAATGATTTGCATGATTATCGCAGTAGACAGTATTCGGAGCATATAAACTACTCACTCCTACTCTGTTATTCACCACTCTTTTCAATTGTCCAGAAGCTGATGAGAAGGCCATTTTAAGATGCCCCGGTCCAATCTCCACTGTATCATTATCTGGTGTTGATATAGTTGAGGTATAGCCATTTGCATTGGGTGCTGTTGTTAGATATTAAAATTAGATAAACTAATAAAAATGATAACGGTGTTAATTGAAAAAAAGGTTAAGGAAACTAATGATGGAATTTTTACAGTCTCAAATTAATGTTAAAATCACCTTGCTTGGTTTCTTTTGATATGAAATAAGTATTCCATCCCAAAGGAGGCACAAATACTTCAAATACAAGCCAATACTTTGGAACGTCTTTTGGCAACTCTCCTAAGTATGCCTTGACATAAAAACTTCTAATTTTAATAGTAGTGTTTTCCATCTCAATGACTTGAGTCTCAATAACATTTCCATCTGCATCTCGTACAATCAGTTGGTTATCATTAACCTAATGGAAGCAGAAATACATGTTAACTTGGCAGTTGAGAAAAAAATACTGAAAAAAATTGCACCACCTAGTTCAAAAATAGGATAAAGATAAAAATAATACAACTAATAAACAGTTAAAGTGGGAATTCACTTAAGATACCTTCATTTCATGTTCACTTTCTCACTTTCAACTTATATAGTAGTATAGTTTCACAAGATGGATTTTAAATGATAGGTGATAAATAGGGACAATAATCTATGTAATGCCAACATTAACCCTCCTTCCCGACCATACTTCTTCGCACCTCCCGCCTTTTTCCTTAACTTCTTACCCCCCCGGAAAATCTCCACTACCTACTTTATGCCTCCTAATGCAATAATGCTTCCAAATTATTTATCTATCTCACTCTCTCCCTCCCTCCCCTCTCCTTTTACTCCAACCCTTTCATTTCCTCCACCATCTTTTCCATCCCCTACTCTTCCATACCTTCCAATCTCTACTCCTTTTTTAACCACTTTGTCTCACTCTCTCCCTCACTCACTCTATCATCATATCTCTATCTCCTTCCTTTCCTTAACTCATCTATATTTTCCTACTTTTCACCTCCCTCGCTCTTCTCCCCTCGCCTTCTCTGAGCTACACTAGCTAAAGTAAAGATTAAAGAGTTTAATCAATTGAAACTAAGGTTATAGCAACCCCAACCTCCAACCATTCTGTTCTTACTTCCATATCATTAAGCAGAGGATTAAGAAGGAACTATAGGCTACGAATGGTCAAATGAATTGGCTAGCATTCGAACATCTTCCAATCACTTGTCCAAGTTGGTGCCTTAGCTAAGTTTTAAGCAATGACGTAAACTTCATCTCATGAATATGAACAATTAAGTTAAGTCAATCATTTACTACATATCAAATACATCTAGTCAAAGGAGAACTTTTTTTTTTTTTTTAGTCAAAGGAGAACATTCTCTAATTAGAAGGTAGCAGTTTTAGCATGAAATCTATTTGGATACTGCAATTTAATAACCTACCATAACAACTATGAACATCTATTTATTTTTAAGCAATCACTACTATTCTTCTTAAATTGATTTTACTTGCACATTTATTTAATTTGTGCTATGCGTGGTGCATTATCTTTTTTTTTTTAATTTGGTTTATTCAACACTTGTAGCACTTTCTGGCATGCTTAGTGCAAGCTCCTACTATAATTAGACATTACTAAATGTGATGTTTGATTTTCACCATCTTAGGGTATGACTAATTAATGAGTATGTTCTAAACAATGATGTAGACTTCATACATGTGAACCCTAAAAGTGTTCTTTTTTATTGAAACAAATCTATAAACATAGCCTTCTTGATAGGAAGAATGTTTTGATTCTACGTAACATACGCATTCACAAGTTCAGTCCATTCTCTTGAAAGTTGATGATGGTAACCACCACATATGATTATTCTTAATCTTTGAAGAGTGCTTATCAATAGATTGCTTATTAGGGATACAAGCCATAGGGATGAGATACATATGATGTTTAATGAGTCAAAAACTTTATTAGATGTTTATTTGAATAAGGTGCTTATGTGAGTCATCCCTTCGTTGTAAGAGTTGTAATAATGCAGTTTATACAGTTCACAAAAAAGAGCAAAGTGTATGAAATTATAAAAGCATGGTTTGACATCTTCTTCTTGAAGTAGGAAGGACTTCCCAAATTAAGATTTACTTGAGAAGAGATGTAAGAAACATAATTTAATAATGAACTTACTGGAATTCTAATATATTCTGTACGATTCCATCCAAGAGAATTATATACAACCATTATCTGTGCAGGCAAATGTAATTCATCAAATTGCTGCCTTAATTTTAAAAAAACATATAAAGTTCGATAAAAAATAGAGAGAAAGTGATATCTGTAAATCATCAAACAAAAATATAAACTTACTAAACTCTTCCCATTTGAAAGTTCTTCTGTAGCTGGACAGTAACTTACGTTGAGCAAATTGCACTGAAATAATAACCAGAAATATTTTTGCAGAATAAGAACTTTGCACAAAATAGCAGCTTAAGTATGTCACAAATCTTCATTCCTCATTAACAAGAACTAGAAACCCATCTTTAATGCGCATTCTTCAATCTTAATGTAAGTATTACTATCATGATTGTTGGATCCCAAGTCAAAATAAGAAATCAAAATCATGTAATCTAGAAGTAGCATAATGATGTTGAAGTTACTTTCTAGCAAACTTTACTAAATAAAGGCCATTCAACCCTACATCAATACCAGTAAACTGATTGACACAAATTATCCAGAAAAAATGTATCCTATCAAAACAAAACAAAAAAAAGTTAGTGAACGAGTTGAATGTTGCTTCAACTATAAAGTAAAGTAATTAGAATTTGTTGAAACAGAAAGAATTGCATGCATAGATTTGATTAAGTTGAGAGTTCCAATAATAGTTTCTTTGAGATTTTTACTAACATATCCCCCTAACAATAGCAATAGGCATATAGGGACAAGGGTGCCAAAGGGATTGGGTTGCCCACTTTAGTCCATTAGCCAATGCTTAAAAATAGTAATGGGTTGGCCATAATGTGTATGACCACACGTGGGTTGGACCTAATGCGCTCAATGCTAGTTAATGAGCATGTTTACAATGTCATTTCAATAACAACTCTCACGCCTGCTAAGATACTGCTCGACGCCACCCACCTCTCATATGCATAACAAATCAAAATTGAAATAAAATTTTAATATTGAAGGAAGGGATTTAACTCATGAACTGTTACAAGCATGATCACACCCATTAAACAAGATCAACCAATCTTTCATATATATATATATATATATATATATATAATTTTTAAATTGTTTCAATGCTTCCACCTGAAAAAAAAAACACAAACTTGAACATATAGCTAATCAACATAAGTAAAGAATGTGGCATCATAAAAGTAAGATCCTACATCATGTAAAATGTATACAAAAGCAATTCACTTAAACTATACAGTTGGTGAGCAAGTAATATGTTGTCAAGGCTTATCAACGAGAAAAAAAAAAGCATATTGCTTAGAAGCACTAAGCTCAAACAAAGTCGACTGTCAATTAATTGAAACACAAATAATAAGTAATATTACATATAAAGAGTACAAAAAATAAATGGAAAGATTGTTTAAGGTAAATGACGTAAAGAACCTCAAACAAGCAATCAACGAACTGAAGGAGCAAAGTTTTGTATCATGCTACCATGAAAGTAAAATTGAGTTGCTCAAAAGTAGAGAAATAGAATTCAAAACATAAGTCAAAGAATCCAGAATGGATCAAGAGAATACTTGAAAATCAAGGAAAACTCATTAGATGGAGGGCTAAGAACTTTTGTAGAGGAGGCTAATTTGTTTGCTTGAGAGTTGATAATCCATAGATTCTACAAGAGAGTTGAGGTCAATACATCATATGCATTTCGAGCAAGGAACCAAAAATGCCAAGAGCGAGAAACAAACAAAAGATTTGAGAGCAATGAAGGACCAATAACACAAAATGCATAAAGAAAGCAAGTGCGGAAATGAAGAGTCTAAGAGCCAACAAAAAACGAGAAACAAAAGAGTTTCAAGTTTCATTCAATGACCTAGGACATTATTAAAATACGAGAATCAACATATGGTCGAACGGGGAGACTCAATGAAGTTTTGAACTAAGCTCACAATTAACATGTCTCACGATGAAGCATGAAGCAATGCCCACAAGCATTGCAATGCTTTGAAGTACTCGTGCATGTCATAACAAAGAAAGCATAGTTGATGCTTCTCTTCAAAAATGTGCTTTAATCATATTTTTTACTTATATATATACATGTAATATTTCAACAAATATTCAAGTTGAAATTCTATTAAACTATTAAAACTTTGAAATATGGTAAACTTCAATTATGGAGGTCAACTTTAGAGTGTAAAGGTTTTTGTTTGAGTAGATCTAAAACTGAATATATGAAGTATAATTTTAGTAGTAGTAGATCTAGTGGGGGATTGTGACTTTGGGTAATCAAGTCAATAATAAGAGTACACGTTGTAGATATCTTGGGTCTATTGTTCATAATGATGGTGAAACAGATGGGGATATTATTAGTAGAATTCAAGTTGGATGTTTGAAGCGGAGGAATGCATCGGGCTTGTTGTGTAATAAAAAAGTCCCCCTCAAACTTAAGGGAAAATTACATAAGAAGGTGGTGAGACCTGCAATACTTTAAGGTGCATAATGTTGACCAATAAAAGGAAGCATAATATTAAGTTAAGTGTTGCAGAGATGAGGATGCTCAGGTGGATGAGTGACTTTACTCTTAGAGACAGATACGAAATGAGCATATATGTAAAAAAGTTGGAGTAGATCCAGTGGAAGACAAGATTAGAGAGAGTCGCCTTGGATGGTTTGTTCACATAAAACAGCAGCCTTCTGATGACTCGGTTAGGAAAATAGATATATTAGATTTGGTTTATGTTAAGAAAGGTAGAGGTAGACCTAAAAAGACTTGGTTAAAAAATATTTGAAATAACCTTTCTTTATTAGATTTAAATGAGAATTTGACTCTTAACAGGACAAATTGGAAAAAAAAGATTCATATAGCCGACCTTACGTAGTGGGATAAACTATAAAAGCTTGATATTGTTGTTGTTGTATTAAATTTTTGAAATAGACTATAAATGATTTTTGAATTTACAAGGTATATTTAAATTCAACTCCGTTGATTCATCTAAAAACATCAATTTTAGGTAATCTATCAAAACTACCTATGAACTCAACACCATACAAGATCAAGTAGTTGGGTTAACCAACTCGTTGCCTACATTTTATTTTAAGGGAACAATGAATTATAATTTAAACTTAACTAACCATGAGAAATATCCCAACAAAGCCCATCATAAATTAAGTATATTCAAAACTCATGAGTAGGCTCCGAAAACTCGCGCCCCGGCCTCTCCTGCTCTCAGGAGAGTTTTAACGAATTAGGTTATGAGGTAAATTTTTAGAATGCAGATTGGGTTTGAAATAAGACACCGCCCAGAGATTTCGCCCTCATTTTGCGGGGACTTTACAATCTGAGTTATAGTTTCCTATAGGCGCAAGCCCTTATAGTTAATTACTCCTCCCGGTAACGAGAGAGAACTTTCGATTAAGACTAGTCAAATAGATGCATAGAGATATGTGTTATCTGATTTATAATAGCAGCATGGGTTTTGTTGTTCAAAATATAATACTTAAAATTAGAAATGCACCATCTTGCACTTAGAACGGATGGTGGGAGGGAATGTGATGAACCCGATTAAGATCCATGGTTCCGTCATCCCGAGTCATCATGATCTCTAGTATGCTTAGTCAGAGGTGGTAGTCGACCCAGCCTGACAGAGGATCCTTATCGTCAGCCATGGATTGCTTCAGCAAATGATACCTTGTAGACCTATGATGAGTATTTGTCTAAGGGGGCAAATATGAATCCACCTTAGCTAAATAAGAGCTTTATGTCCTAATGTCCTATCTATTATATCATATTGATTCACATCTCAAGAATTTAACGTCATTAGAGAACATATGGGCTATGATTGTAACCGTAATATAGAGGAGTCGTTGAACCAAGCCACTAGATGAGAGGACCGCGGTGGTATATGTTAATTACGCAAAGCCATTCGGCCAAGCCATGGGTTCTTTATGGAGCCATCCGGCCAAACCACCAATCAGAGGGACAATGTCACGTCCTTACTGACAAAAGATTATTTGAGAATAAATCCTAGTGATATTATCAACCAAACATTAGTTCTTTATAAGCTGAAGTTATATTTAAATTTGTACATCTTGGGAAACTGTTGAGGAGGATTGATGAATTTTGCTTTAAGCATTTTGATGATTAATTTCAATTTTAAATATTTCAGGTTTTAATATTTTCTTGGATTTTTGGATTTTGCAGGCGTTTGGGAAATTGAGAGACATTTTGAATACTTGAAATTAACCCCTCCGGTTGAGATCTACGTTCAACACGACCATCATCAGAATTTTTATGGACATTTTTATTTTGTTGACTGAACCATGTCGACTATGTTTGCTTGCCGACAGAGGATTAGGTTCATCGTAGTCTTTATGTCTTTATTTGATGAATTTTCTTAGTTATTGGCCTTGAAGGCTTGATATGAATGTATTAAAATTAATATCTCGATCGATGTCGTGGTCGTATATTTGTTTGATAGTTAGAGTCATGTCGACTCCTATCCATTCATGCAGAATGATAGAGCTCGATCTTGGATTCATTTCTAGACTCACACAGCATCCTCAGACATCACGTATGTAAATATAATACGCTCGTCGGGGCCCATCGAGTATTTATGGGGAATTTTTATAATTATTTGTTGAACCTTGTCGACTCTGTCTAATTACTGACAGAGGATTGGGTTCATAGTAGGTTTTATGCCTTTATTAATGAATTTATTTTGTAATAGGCCTTGAAGGCATAATATGAACGTATAAGACAAATATCTCAATCAATGTTGCGACCGTATATTTGTTCATTGGTTCAACAACTCCCCCCCCCAACCCAAATCAAGAAGAAGCTTAGACTTACACATAAGTTTATTTCTCGACCCGCGCAACATCCTCAAATATTATATGTGCACCAACAACATGCTCATCGGGGCCTATGCAGGTATATGTCTTTGCACGTATTTTGCATAATACATTTGTGAAGTGGATACTTGTGTGCAGTGCAAAATACATAGATGACGAGGGCATTTTATGATACTTGTCGTTGATCGATTGTGCGGACGACTGTCATTTGAATGTGCACAGCGCTTTGTTTGATAACTTATAGACATTTTTTGTCTGCTTGTATATATGTTGTGGATCCGGTGACGTGGCGGTATGTCGTGAGTTGTGTGCATGTTTTATACAGGTAGATACTTGCATTAGTCACATGCATCTGTGATGGCTTGTAAATAGCTAGTATTTGCTACTGCTTCTCTCTATTTGCATCGTAGGTAGTGTGTTGTGCACAAGACGGATCTTCTACAGCAGCTCATAGAAGCTTGCATTTGTTGTAGCCCTTAGGCCTTTTGCTTGTGGTCTTCGGTATTTGTTCATAGATAGAACTTTGTGCACGTGATAGGCCTCCTATGGTAGCTCGTAGGAGCTCACAATTGTTATAGTTTTCCTGCATTTGCTATGGTTTTCATCCTTTGTTTGCAAGTGATGGCTTGCATGTCCTTATTCGCAAAGGACCCCTTGTCATTGCAACGTACCCTTCGTCATTGCTTGTTATGCAAATCAGTATGCTCATTTGTAACTTGATGGCTTCCAGCTGAGCTACATTCACCAAATGATCACTTCATGCATTTTGATTTGCAAGTCAATACATGTCGATCGTCGCCACTTGTAGTCGGGTGAACATATTTATTTGTATATTGATACTTGGCAACAAGGTTGAGTTGCATAAGCGTTAATTTCTCCATTCATGCTGGACCTGCTGGCTGACAAGCTTGTTGTATCTGCTTGCATATCTTTCAATTCTTGTGGTAGCTACCGCTTGTATCTTCAAGACACCTGATGTCGAATGTAAGGAGATCGTTGCTTTCGCATCTTATCTACCATCGTAATCTACAAGTAGGCTAATGTGCTCACTACAAACTTCCGTCAGTGCTTGCAAGTGGATGTAATAGGGGCTACTGTCTCTTCCTGCATGACTGTCACAAAGACTATCAGTGATTCTATTCGGATGTCGATTAGAGAGCACTGCTATGTTCATCACGCGTTAATTTTCAATTCTTGTATGGGACTGCAGCTTTCATTTGCTAACTAGCATATGTCGGCTGAAAGAGTGTTGTGGTATTCGAACATTCTTGTTGTGGCTTGTGAGTGTTTGCATATATTTGTTGCCTACTGACCACCTCTGCTTCCAAGGGATTAGTGCATTTGATTACCATTGCTTGGTTGTTGACTGTAAGGGCGTCGTAGCATCCACTGCCTGTAGTTGATTAGCATTCATAGGCTTATAATGCATATGGCAAATTTCTCGTCGTCGTCAGCAAGTGAGCACTTATCGTATGCTACACTATATGTATTTGCAAGGAATTCTGTTAATTTGTTTGCAAGGTATTCGACATTAGCTACAAGCTGATTAGCATTAGCTGCGAGCAAGTCATATTCATTACGACTCCCTTGAATATGTTTTGTTGGTGGATTATCATCTTCTTTGCATCTCAACTGTCATTGCTTGCGGGCTTTGATGTGCTTGATTGAACATAGGTGCTATATCTGTTGTGCCTCTTCAACATTATGTTCATGAACACACACGACATAAATTACATTCATCTTACCTTCGTTCATGAGTAGACCATTGCAGTTGTTGTCAGCATTTTAAAGTGACTGCCTTTATGTGATCAGGGGAGTTGTATGGGGTTGAGGGTTTGTAAAGTGGCTGCCTTCGGAGAGATTGTATGTGGTTGCTTTGGTACAAAAAGCTTCACGTAGTTGCTATTGGAAGCAGAAAAGGCTGCTATAACTGGAGTGAAGTGTTGGTATTCACGTGAGAAGTTAGCAAGAACGGTTGTAGTGTGAAATAGGGAAAAGAAACAGACGGTGCGACCTACTCTGAAAATTCGCGCCCCGGCCTCTCCATTACCACTTTCTCTTTTTGGGTCGTCGAGGAGAGTTTTAATGAGTAAGTTCCAACGCAAATTTTCAGAAGGCAGACTGAGTTTTAGATAAGACATTACCAAGAGATTTCACCCTCATTTTGCAAGGACTTTATGATCTGAGTTCATGGTTCCTATAGGTGCAAACCCCTATAATTAATTACCCCTCCCGATAGCGAGAGAGAACTTTTGATTAAAGCTAGTCATCAAACAGATACATAGTATCAAGCATATAGTAGCAGTAGGATTTGATATTTAAAAATTGAAATTTATATCTTATTTTTCTTTATGTTCATGTAAACAAAAAGCATTGAAGAGACAAATTCATACCTGGCTTAACTTAACTGATGGAGAGTTGGAGGCACATTTCTCTCCAGGATTAGCAAGGCAAGGAATAGCAAGGTTGATAACCATCTCTGCCTACAGAATACAACAAAAGTTGTAAATCTACTTCTCTAAAATCAAAAGATTCACAGGTAATAAATAAAAACAGCACCCAAAAAAAGGGCAATGTACGAAAAGTATTAAGCTGTGAAAAGCAAGCAAACCTGAGATGCCCCATATGCCAAACGTTTTGAATAATCATTTGTTGTATGTTGTTTTGCAGTACCAGAGACTGCATCATGATGTTGAGCAATGCCTAAAGCATCTCCTAGAATAGATGTGACTGGACCAGAAGATTTCCTCCCTACCAAAAATTCTAGTTGACGTGCAGCCTACTTGACATGTAAGATGCTTAGTAAAACTCTAATTGTTTGCGTGCGAGAGTAAATGAAGCAGCTGAAAGCATAAAATCATAAACAAACCATTGTACCAGATAATATCCACTTAATGCTCGAACAAAACGCTTGAATGATGGTCGACTGGTATAATAACCAGTCCAATAAGAATATGGACTATCTGCATATCTGCATTTAATTTATAGAAGTGTGCACGGATGAGTGTAAGAAGAATAACAAATTGATTTAGCGACATAAATTTCCATAGCTTACGGGAAATAGTCATCGGTTTTCAGCGGCCATGATTCATTTGCAGCATGCTTTGCATCAGTGTAAAATGATGGGGTGGAATACAACGCATGGATACGGCCATCCTACCAACACAATGATGGTGCTCATTAGCAGTAAATGGTTTGCATTTTTACAGAAATGTATTTCTTTAAATTAGTGTAGGGACAGGCACAAAGCAATGATTAAGTTGCCCAAATAGAACATAGAAAGAGACTTTGAATCACCAAAAAAGTCTCCCTGCAGAACCAAGGGTAAGAGCACATTGTTCAGCCCCTCTCCACACCACACATTAGTTGGGGCATCTTGCTCTAGGTAATCCCCCTTTTTCCATTAAAATTCGAATGTATTTTTCATATAAATTTCAAAGCCTTCTTCACAAAGGCATGCCCAGCGCCGAAGCTTTCGTAATTGATCTAGCGAGGGAGAAAATGCACGCAATCTTCCGACTAAAATACAAATAGCATACCCTTGGTGGTAATAGAATATCTGATATTCTATTTTCTTCCAATTAGAAAAAGACAGCAGAAGTGAATACTACTTATTGTCGATAAAACGAAAATCATGAATGCTACATATACTTCTCAGTTGCGAGACAATAATTGGATTAGTGTGTTCTTACAAACACTTCTCATTTGATCATGTTCTTTATTATGATGTAATAACAATCTTGAAGGATATCTCAAGGTGAAAAAGATCCTTTAAAAAAGCCACAAGGAACTATAAAATTAATTAGTGTTTGCTGCATTACTTGATATTTATGCATAAGAACTGTGTTGCACTTGGCATTAAGGAATCTCAATGTTGGATTGAAGATTCAAAACACAAACATGAATGTAAATGCAGAATATGCGTTAGCACAAAGTATGTACTCAAGAGCATGCATGCTTTGTAAGATATGTATTAACTATTAATGTCGCCATTTTTCTAATTACTTAGTTAATTCAGATCAAAGTTACCATGGAGATATTAAGAATAATATCACGCATGTGCCCTTATTTTGATCACACTTATATAAAATAAAATATTTTCTTGCTTGAAAAAAAAATTTAGCCTTTAGCACAGTTCAAATATTACTTTAAAAATCCTTTTGGTCCGTTTTATTAAATAAGTGCGGTATTTAGATAACAGGTATATATCAGGACTTTTGTCAAGCCTTCCAAATACAAAATCCAGCTACACCTCTATTCATGACAATTTCATATTTTTCAATAAAAAAAAGTAATGCTTTTTTCATTTATAGCCATCAACTATTTTTAAAAATAAGGCCTCCCTTAATTTTTCAACTTAACAACTTCCAAGTTCCATGTTATTCTTTAATCCACTCAAACGAATTGCATCCCCTAAACGTTAAAAAAATGAAAAAGCAGTTATCTTCTTTGTATTTTAAAGTCAAACTGATATGAGTACCTGATTTACATAATTGATAAGTTTGTCCATTTGCCTGAACCAAGATTCAGCATACTCATACTGGAAATCATCGCCCATTGTCCACATAATATGATTTGTTCGAGTCACATTAGCCTGATAAAAAGCTTGCAGGTATTGAATATAGTAATTCAAGGAAAATTCTAATTTAAATAGTATAACAATTTGATGCCATGCATTGATATTCACATAGGCAAACTTAAGTGCACATCTCACGTTACCTGAGCTAAAGCAGCATCAATAAAATCATTGACACGCTCATTAACATTATAGTCATAAAGAATAGGATCATCCTGCAGATAAAAAAGATATCAAAGAACATTGTAATGGACTCTCTGTGTCCCTGTGTGGGAGGGGATAGAACTAGAACAAGTAATTAGTGCATTCAAACTCCATACCTGGATGGGAGCGTCCTCATCATTGACTTCAAAATGAAATCCATTTGGAGGGCTATAATGCTTAGGAAAGGCGCTTGCGAAAATCTAGAGTACCAGAATCCCCATCTATAAATAAAAAATTTCTTCGAGGAAATATAAATTGGAAACCAGAAAATTGATAACCTGAGAAGAAGACCCAAAAGTTCTTGAACCACGCCATATGACTTCAAGAGATTTGTCTAACCAACGTTTCTTTCTGTCCTGGTAATCAATCCTTGCAAAGAATATAGAGTCGAAACCAATCTGCATGAAGAATAAGAGAATTAAAAGAAGTTATTACATAACTTAGTTAAAACTTTAAGAGATTTAATTATCTAATTTTAATATGCTATTGAAACTCATCCCATCATTAGTGTTATCCCAACCTCAATTGCAAGATCCATACATGTAATGATACCGAAATCTCAAATGCCGATGCACCCTCTGATGTAGTAATAGGAGTTTCATCAAGAATTTCAAAGCATGCTCATCCTAGAACACTCCAAAGGTGAGTGATCTCTCAGGAAGTTGCACCAAAGGGACAAAACATTAAGGTTTGCTATGCCAAAAGGGGCAATATTTCAATGGATAAAAGCTTCATATCAAAGCAATACACTGAAAAGAAGATGAGAACTAAATATCATATAGGACAAAGTGCTACGCAACATCAGCCAGCTCTTGAACCTATAAGATCACCTTCATAATTATATCTTGTGGATGATTATAGGCCATGTTTAATGAATATTGACAATGATATCAATTCCTCAATGGGGGGAGATTGTAAGATTCCTCAAGTATAATGAGGCAAAAATTTTAAAATTGAGCTGAAATTTAATGTAATGGTTAAAGTTCCATCAGGAATTCCAAAGCTAAGCATGCTCAAGCCAGAGCACTTTCCTGAGAATTTGCACCAATGTTACGAAATAATGAGGTTTATTAGCTAAAGCAAGAAATAGCTCGATAGATAAGAACTCTTGATGTGCACCATCCCCCATTCATTCTCTACAAGAGATGTTATTATGTAAGCAAGTTACCACCATCCTGCTTAGGGCTACCACTTTCCCTTCCTAAACATTTCACATTAAATTTATCTGCTCACCTGATAGCTTCTCGCATTACTATATAAGCTCATATAACCTAAGTCTATCTTTCACAAAGTTATCTTTAATTGATGCTACTCCCATCATCCATCTAATATAATTTTTCATAATCTATAAGCTACCACTATTTATCACAAGCTTAGATAAGAAAGGTTGGGCCTAGGGCTGCAAACGAACTAAGTGTTTGACAAGCTACTCGTGGCTCAGCTCGATTATAGCTCGTTCGTGATCTTTTGATTAAGTAATCAAACAAGCTTGAACAACTATGTGTTCAGCTCGTTTATATTTATGAACAACACGTTAAAGCTCATGAACATGCTCATTAAGAAGCTTGTTGAGAAACTCGATTCTTAGTTGATATGAAACTCATGAGAAAACTCGATTAATGTTTGATATAAATATTGACTAAATCTCATAATAAATTGAGTTTGTTCATGATCAAAATATGCTTGTTCATGTTTGATAGATTGTTTGATTTCAGTGTTCATTAAAAAGCTCGTTCTTTAAAAGTATCATTTATGAGCTTGACAAGTTACTCGTTATGGGCTAGAGAAAGCTCGACAAGCTTGCTCGTTTATGGGCTCGAAAAATCATGATATATATGTTCGTTAGCAAGGTCAATATAAATGTTCGTTAGTAGTCTCAATAAGGTTTGCTTGTTAAGCTAATGAACAACTCAATAAGGCTCGTTCATTAATAGCTCGATACGACGCATTCGTGAAGAGCTCAATAAGCCTCATTCGTTAATTTAAATGAGCCAAGCCGCTTTGTTTCAAGATCGATAAGCACGAAATAAACCGAACATGAACTAAACATGAACAACTACCATTTTAAATGAACCAAGCTTGAATCGAGCTCAAACAAGCTATTAATAAACGAGCTCAAACATGAAAAAGCTTCTGCTCGGCTCGGCTCGCTTCGTTTGCAGCGCTTAGTTGGGTCTTTTGTTAGGTCAATTTCTACATATAAAATTTAAGCAAAAATATATAAAATGATCAAAAATTAATATTACTGGATTAGTATTTTAGGAAAAAAATTGACCTCTTCCTCTTCATCATATAGGCTTAGTTTTAAGTAACCCTAAATCATTGAGACAATTTGTGCATTCATAAAGTGTGATAACTATAAATTTGAGAAAAAGATTGAATTGGTCCCCCAACCTTTTCTAAAGGATCAAAATAATCCTCGATTAAAATGTAAGTACCAATTTGGTCCACTGACACTTTAAATATAGAGAAAATTAGTCCTTTTGTGGGATCATTTAGGCCCCTAATTAAAAAATCAATGGACTAAAATAAGACTTTTAAATAGCCAGGGACAATTTTGGTCCTTCGTAAAGAGTCACGAGACTATTTCGATCCTTATCTCCTCTATATATATTTATATAGAAAGAGAGAGAGAGAGAGAGAGAGAGAGAGAGAATTAATTAGATTTGTTTGTAATGGAATTAAATGCATACTATGAATGACATATTATTTAAAGGCACAAAGAATTAAATTTATTTAACAGCTTAATATTAATATTTATAGTAATATATATATATATATATATGAATAATTACTACTACAACAACAACAACAACATCAAGCCTTTATCTCACTATGTGGGGTCGGCTACATGAATCTTTTTTCTCCAAAATGTCCTATTAAGAATCTAATTCTCATTTAAATCTAATAAATGAATAATTACTAATGTATATAAAATATTTAATTTTGAAAGAAAATAATAGCTTTTTCAAAAAGGCTTTGCGAGAATTGTCCCTAAAAGCTAGCATGCAATCTCTCTCATTATTGAGACACCCACATGTTCGAAGGCACCGGAGATTAGGCATATGAGTTCTTAAGGAAGTTGTGAAGTGTTCGAATTATTGACATCATGATACAAACATATAATTCATTTTTTTTTCATGTTTATTAAATTAACAAATCTATCAAATATAGATTTTTTAGTATAAAAATACTTTGTTGTACATAGTCCTATTAGTACTTCACTTTCATACTTTTATCGGTTAATTGATTTGCATAACCAAAGAATCATCATATCATTTGGGCCCTTCGAGATTCAAAATGACTTGCTGGTGATGCTCAACCCTTCAAGAAAGGTCCATACAAATGGCATAAACTGTTCAGACAGCTTTGATTTTTTGAAAACTTGAAGAATGATTAAAATTGAGAAGTATCCATTTTTTGTCCTTTTATTTTCCATCTTAAGAATTATAAATAGATCTTTGAATGTTTATTTTGAACATAATAAGACAAAGAATAATAGCATTATTTGGGGGCCTTTACGTCAGATGTAAGACTGCATCATTCAACAAGAAGTTCTACATAATGCAGGTACCTGTTCCCCTCTAACCCTAAATAATCAAGCAGACACACAAAAAGAACAAAAATAAGAATAAGTGTATGTAATATGAAATGAAAAAAAAAAGCATTAGGGAAAAACATTCATATCATTGTCTATACACTTAGTTATGCTCATCTAAATCCAAGTTTGCAAGACTGTACGTGGCATGGCAATACATGTTTATAATAGTAGGTGAAAAGGAAAGAGATAAGCACATTACCTCAGCACCAAGTAAGTAGCCTTGTACGGCAGAGTGTCCAAAAGGGTCAATCTGCCAACCAATTCGAGGAATCTTATTAAATTGTTTCTTTATCATACGATGGCCAAGAGTAGTTTGATCAATCATATCAATGTAATGAACAGCTGCTTCGTCGTGCATACACCAGCCACCATTTCTACAAAAGAAGAAATCCAAGTCACACTGAAGCAAAACCTTTGTAAAAAGAAATATATTTCCAAAGAAGGTCAATAATTCCACCCATACATGAACTCCAATTGTCCAGAATCAACCAACTTTTTTACCACTTCTTGCGTTGCCTCGTTTTGTTCGCCCCACCATCTTTGGAAAAAAGCCTATGATCCATAAGAATATTTTTAGACTTTTATTTTGCCTTCTAAATTTAGAATGAAAATGACCAGAAAAACATTAATAATGGAGTATTTCCCAATGCTTTATAAACCGGACCGGACCGGCCAGTTCAACCGGTTGAACCGGACCACCGGTCACCGGCCGGTCCAAAATTTAATAAAAACTGTTTTAACCATAAACTGGATTGAACCAGCGGTTCAACTGGTTAACCAGTGCCGGTTTTCAAAAACCGGTTCAACTAATATTTTATTAAATAAAATATTTAACAAATTTATTTTTAAATATTTTACTTAAATTTATTAAATATTTTACTTTATAAATACATTTAAAATTTATATATTTTAACTAAACAAGCATATAAAATGCTTTATCTCATGGCACATGGCCCAACATATCACGTACTTTCTTTAGAAAAGGGAGTCAAAAATTTTATATAGACAAAAATTAATGCTATATATATATATATTGTCTAGGTGATGTGGGATTAAAAAATCAAAGAAGAAGTTCTCATTTTCTATATATATAATTATTAAAATTTAATAAATGCAAATAAACATTTAATTTTTATCTATTTATTTTTTCATTTTATTTCAATTCTAGATATTTTTTTATTTACCTATATTTTTAATATTAAATAATATAAGATGAATTTATAGATATAATTTGTATGTAATTTGATGAAATTTGAACTTTTCCATGGGTATAATTATATCTAAACATATAAAATAAATTAAAATTATTTGATATTAAATTTAAGAATATATATGTTAAATAATTTTATTTAAATATGAATTATATTGTTTATTAAATGTGATTTTAAAACCTCACAACTCGATTTTAATTTGGATATTTGATATGTATGATAGGATGAATTTGTGTTTAAGTTTAAGGTAATATCATCATATTATTATATTAATTTTATTTATTTTTTAAACAATATTATTATTTATTACGTCATCCGGAACCATGAAACTCTCCTTCTTCCGGTTCATTGTCCGGTCCGGTTTTTAGAGCCTTGGACTACTTCCAAGTTTAATTGTAAGCCTAATAGACCAGTTTTATAATGCAGATGTTCGTGAAACAGATGAGTAAAGAGCCGAAGAACCTAAAAAGTAAAAACTAATAAGCCTGTAAGGATCTTACTGAGACAAATTCTACAGTCTTTGATCTTACAATCAATTCCTTTGATTCTTGACTTAATCACTCAACAATGGACGATTCAGGCAGCTGATTTTACACTAAATATTCCTCTAACATGTAACGATAAGCTTACTTCAACATATCCCAAGTAGAAAAAGAACACAAAGTTAAAAATAAAAAATAAAATAAAATAAACTGTTTTATACCTGCTCGACGTAAACAAACTTCCTGCTTGGATCTTTAAGCAACGCAACGACCACAGAGTCCAGGACATTGGCAACACAAGCACCCTATAAACACATTAAACGGAAAAAAATATCAGGAATCCACCTCCCCAACAGCATTCAAAACTAAGAGAACTAACCTGTATGCTATTGTTAGAACCAACATAGTACTGATCCACAGTCTTCAACCAGCCTACATCATCGTGAGTGTGAGGTACGAGATGAACATTGAGCTTCCCTTCGACTATGCCGGCACTCGTATTGTACCGGATGAAACTTGCCCTAACCTCCACGAGTAAAAGAGAGATCAATAGCAATGTCACTGACGCCACCGAGGACGACCCCATCGTGTCGGCCAAGAGGAACATTCAGACCAATCTGACGATATCGGGTAGGGTGAGAATTTATAAAAAAATAGAAATGGTGACGAGGAAAAGACAAGATTGGATGACGATGAGATCAAAGAACGATGATTACCGTGTCTTTTACCAAGTAATGATAAGTAGGGTGCCATTGAAGAGGGAGTAAGAAAGGCAGAGTATATTTGCTCTCTTCCGCCGGCGACGCTTGTGGCATATAAAGAAAAAAATGCCAATTTCTATGGATGGACGGTTAGGTTGCGTTTTGTCGATGGCTCTACTGCCGTGGCACGCAGGGCCGTTCCGATCTTGACGACTTGATGTAAATCTTATAAAATATTTGCGCTTAAAAGTAATTTTTTAATCTAATTTTTTTAAAATTAAACTTTTTTTACTCAAAAATTATTTTAAAAAGTAATAAAAATATTGTCCCAAATAAAATCTTAAAGATTTTTTTTAGGATAACTTTTTTATTGCATCTCAAATCAATTTTTTAGTAAAAAATTTTAATTTTTATACTAAAAAAATTATTTTAAGCAGCAATAAAATGGTCATTCAAAGTTTCAAACAAAACTTTAATTTGTAAGATTTTATTTATTTGCTATAGATTTTTTTATTATATTAAATTATACAATAAATTTTAAAATATATAAATCTGATATTTTAATAATTAATACACAAAAATATTATTTTGATATAATTTATGAAAATTTAATTACTAAAAAATTTTATAAACCCTAATGCAAAATTGGCCCAACATATAAAAGCCATCAAAGTTTTTTTTTGTGTGTAAAACATGAGATCAACCAAGCTCATGTATAACATATAGTCATAATATGTATAACACATAATGAACTTCAAAATTATATATTTGTGTTGAGATTAGTGCAGTTCGACATCATATATGATATTTCAATATAAGCTCAAGAGCTTTGAAATCCATCCTATTGTGTTTTTATTTTTATTTTTTCAACACCATCAAAATCACTTTCGAAGAAAAGTCTCTTCCAACTTTGATGACTCGTAGGGTTGTATGTTAGCATCAAGATAGAAAGGATAAGTTTTCAATTAGTTTGAATTGAACAATTTTTATTTTTTTATTCTTTGATAAAAATGAGGGACAACGCTAGATTCATTATTATAATGAAGAAATACAAAAAAAAAAAAAAACAATTACAACTCATAAAGGGAAAAAAGGATTTTTCGCAGCTGTAAACAATAAAACTATATCGGGTCAATTGGACCACAAGGACATGAAAAATCAAACCAAAAAGAAAAACAAAAGATGAACGGTTTGGACTAAAAATAGGTATTCGGGTTGAACCCAGAATTGACCCGGGCCTAAATGGCAGGAAAATTACAAAAAATAAAAATAAACCCACTCTATTAATTTAACATTTATTTTTAAGGTGGGCAATTACCCCCCTCCACATAGTTGGGTTCTGCCCCTGATAGTCATCAATGTAGTCGAATGTCTGCATTAAATTGGGATGCAAAAGAAATTTGGAGAAAGAATGCAGGATTCTTCTTAGAAGGTTAAGAAAAGGCGCATTCAAAAAACAAGTGAGAAGCATTTTCAGAAAAGGAGTCGTCATGCCCTAGAATTAAATTTGAAATAATTATAAGCTTTATTTTTTTTAATTAATTATCAAAGCTTCTATAAATCATCGATATAATTCATTATCCAATGAAAACACCTAAATATCATATAAATTGAAATATTTCACTATATTCATTCACCAAAATTATATTTATAATAGTCAGGAGATTAATAATTATCATTGATCTATCAATAGCAGCAGGTGACTATAAATGATAGAGTGGACACGAATGGCTTATCAAGCTCGATTTCGTCGAGTAGCTCGTGGAGGAAGCTTGACAACATAGCTCGGGAAGGGCCTCGACGAGCTGTTCGACGTGAGACGTGTGAACTCGAGCAAGCAAGGGTGAGGCCTCATCACGTTCGAGAGCGAGGACACATCGCGTTCAAGGGCCAAGCCTGCGTTACTATGGGTGTGAGGGCCTGCAAGGGTGCTCGAGTCTGGGTTCGGGCGAGGCGCCAATGCGCTTACAGACTACGAGGGCGACTAGCAAGGTCAGATTTGGATTGGACTCAAGTCAAATCCGGGTTATATTCGGGTTAGCAAGTTGAACTGAACCCGACCAAAATTTCCAAATGGGGTAAAAAATCAAAATCCTAACCCAACTCATTTGTTAAATAGGTTGACCCGAACCCGAATTTTTTGGGTCGGGTTATTGAGTTGGGTCAATAATTGACACCTTAATATCGAATGCTACATAGAGTTAAAAAGTAATTATGAGAGCAATTAGTTATCTTTTAATTATCTTGTGGTTAGTTTGAATGTCAAATATTGGTTATTTATCTATGATAGCTCCAACATACATATCACTTTATATCATGCTATTTACATATCTAACATTTAAAATTTTAATACTTCATGCATATCATCCATAGACAATTTTAATATCAAATATGTCACTCCTCCTATCACATATATTTCATCTATAGATGTTAGTCATGAAATATTAAAAATTATTGTGTTAGATATGTAAATAGCATGATATGAAGTGTTATGCATGTAAATCCCCTTAAAATATATTATTATATTTTTTATTTTATATAAATCTTTATTTGATAAATTAAATTGTAGTTAATAAAATAAAATGTATCAACTAATAATTAGTTAATGACTTACCAAGATAAAAAAATAATAATTTATATTTAAATGAATTAAATTTAAATAAAAATTATATCATTGAACTTTAAATAATAAATTTTAATTAACTAATAATAATTATTACATTCCTTAATAATGATTAATTGTCTTTTGCTTATATTGAGAAAAAAATTAGATTATATTAATAATAAAATAATTATTCAACTATTTCAGAATATTTATTAGTATATATTTTTGGATAATAATTGAAAAAAAATATTTAAAACTATCTATGTATGTCCCAAGCCCAATTGAAAAGGTTGAGAGAAAATTTAATAAAATAATTTAGACTCCTCAATAAAATTTATATCTCCGGCACGAAGGACAAGTAAAGTTGAGAGTGGAGAGACACTCAAGTCTTAGAAGAGCATATTAGCTTATATAAAAATAGCAGATATTAATATCTTTCATATATCATCAAAAAATTATCTTGATAGGACACGAATCTAGAGACAATAATCAAGTTGGGAACTGCAAAATTAAATCTTGGATCATCTGAACTCCAATTTCAGCAAACTTACAGTCAAACTGAGCGTCTCCGAAATACAAACCCAACGACATCAAATTCAACTCAATCCGAACCCAAATGAGTACAAATTGAAGACCCGAAGCGTTGCTGGAAGGTTCAAACCACAATTTGGATTACCAAACAATTCCAAACATGACATGCTTAGTCAAATCGAGCAGCTCGATGAGACAAATCAAACAAGCCCAATATTGTTGAATTCAGATATCATTAAAACCTTCAAATGTCTGACAAACGGTCCACGATCAATGGATTCAATATCGGACGTCCATCTGAACTACTCCACCTTTGTCCTTGATCCTACTCCTATTTACGAGTCATGTCATCCTCAAAAAACTATAAATAGCTCATCATTGCTCTTGAGAGGGGGACCCAAGCAAGAAGAAGGAAGACAAAGAGAAGAGTAGAAAAGGAGGGAAGAAACTCCTCCTCGATCACCACCGAAGTTTCGTCTGACTTTCAAGTGACGCCGAAGTTCCTCCCAACTTTCAAATGACGCCGGAGTTTTGCCCGACTTCCAAGTGACGCCGAAACTCCGCCCGATCTCCAAGTGACGCCAAAACTCACATGATCTCCAAGTAATGCCATAATTATGTCTGATCTCAAAGTGATTCTAGAGTTTTGCCCGAATATCATCTAACGTCGGAGTTATCCTCGCCGCCAACTAACGTCAGACTTCTACCCAACGCCGGACCTCCGCTCGTCGCCAAATTTCTACCTGACACCGGACTTCTGCCTGTTGTCAGACTTTCGCCGGACATTTATATGATGCTAGATTTCTGTCAATTACTGGACTTCTACCTGACGTCATCCTTCTTACCTCCGTCGTCAAACAACTATACTTCCGACCTCCGTCGCCCGCAGACTACAGTCCTTATGAATTACGTCGCCCACCGACTACAGTCATTCCGATCTCCGTTGCCCGCCAACTCCGGCCCTTCTAACTTACGTCGCCCACTGACTACAATCCTTCCGACCTCCGTCGCCAGACAAAGGTCTTTATGATCTCCGTCACCCGCCAACTACGGTCATTCCGACTTACGTTGCCCACCGACTACAGTCCTTCTGACCTCCGTTGCCAGACAATGGTCTTTATGACATCCGTCACCCGTCGACTATGATTCTTCTGACTTACGTCGTCCACCGACTACAATCTTTCGGACATCTGTCACCAGACTATGATCCTTCTGACCAAACAAACACATCAACATTAATTCTTTGTATTTCAACCATGTAATGTACTATACAAAATGTACATCAAGCAAAGGCCTTCCCCCAAAGAAGGGCCTCATTTGTAATCGACTACAAATAATAGTTGATTCATTCAAACTGAGCTAAGCCCCTTAGGTTTTCCCCCTTTTAAGGGGTTTTCCACGTAAAAGTCTTGGTGTCTCTAGTGAACAATGCACCCTCTCTTTTTATCTATATGTGTGCTGGATTTTCGTCCAATGCTAAGACATTAAACTTTATATTTCTCTGCTGGCGTGAATAATCCAGGACGCAACAATCTTCAAGAGAATACCAATTTATTCGTCAATGTATTATAAAAAATTGAATCATTAGGTTCGGAGTATATAAATATTAATCATACGTTAAATTCGAAGTTTGAAAAAAATAGTGGGCATCAACGAGTTTGTTGGAGCTATGTAATGCAGGACTGTTTGTTAGTATATTCGTCAATGTAATGCAGGACTGTTTGTTAGTATATTCGTCCAAAACCGGCCACCCAGCTCAAGAAAAAATACAATATCTATATCAAGAAGATTCTTAATAATGAATGTGCTTAGCATGAAGGAAGGTCAAGACAAGATCGTGTCTTCTTTGTATGGCTATACCTTGGAGCTTTTAATTGTTGGAGCTATCGCAGATGAATAGGAAATATTTGAAATTCAGACTAACCACAAGATAATTAAAATATAACTAACTGCTCTCATAATTCCTTTTTAACTCGCTGTAGCATTCGAGATTAGGGGTGTTAATTATTGACCCAACTCGATAAACCAACCTGAAAAAATCCGAGTTGGGGTTGACCTGTTTAACAA